GGATTGTGAACAGATAAAAAAAAAAATATTGAGTGCAACTCGAAAACGCAGTTTTACTTGAACAATGATAAAAGCATACTTTGCGTAATAGTATGAGCTTCTAAACCTTAAGTCAATCTAGACTATCAGTATAAACATACATTTATCTTGCCTGTCGCAGCGAGTTCTTCGAATAGAGAAAGCTATCCGATAAAAAATGTTATAAACGACAATTTATACAAGTCGACAACATGGAGACTTGAAAAAAGAATTCGCTGTTCAAAGTGAATGCACTTTTAAACCATATAAATTTTCCCCACTAAAAAAAATTTTCATCATTGCTCGCATTTTCTCTCTAGGTGCCAAATTATAATCCACTGTCTTTTTTTTGAAATTCATTCATTTCATCAAAATTCAATTCTTCAACCCTAAGAATTTAGGGTTATTTAATTTTTTCATAATATAGGAAAATTCTGAGTTTAAATTTTTGGCTCTGAAGCAGATTGAAAGAGATATTAAGATGATGGAAGATGTTTTTAAAAAAAAGTACTCAAAAGCTGATTACGAGTAAATATAATAGCTAAAGGATTAACCTCATTCTTATTCAAAGATGACGTCAGAATTTTGCCTTTCGCTTGGCTTTGAACCTTCCAGGATCTCTTGAGATGTGCAACTAGGTAATATTGAATATATTGGCTAATCACTGTGGTAATAATTCAAGGCTCGTAAATGGAGAGCGCGTGAAAAATGTGGTATGCACTCCTTGCTATCGAGCATGCAAAACTGTTGCCTCTATTATTCGTTTTGATATGTCAATAGAAATACAAGAAACGAAGAAGACGTAGTGCATATAATTTGCGACAAACCAGCGATTATATTGGAAATATTTCCAATTGCAATAAAAGAGATGTTGATTGGGGGGGGGGGGGAGAGAAAAAGATGATGCGCATGAGATAATAGGTAGAATGTACGTTCACATATACCAAAAAAAGTGCACATGTGCATAAAATACAGGCACATGTGCAGAAAATACGTGCACATGTGCATAAAATATGATCGCATGTACACGATACTTGCGCATTTACACAAAACACAAGCGCATGTACACAAAACACGTGCGCATGTACATAAACATAAGCGCATGTACACAAAACACGTGCGCATGTACATAAACATAAGCGCATGTGCATAAAACACTTGCGCATGTACATAAACCTAAGCGCATTTGCATAAAACACTTGCGCATGTACATAAACACAAGCGCATGTACACAAAACACTTGCGCATGTACATAAACACAAGCGCATGTACACAAAACACGTGCGCATGTACATAAACATAAGCGCATGTGCATAAAACACTTTTGCATGTACACAAAACACGTGCGCATATACCCGAAACACAAACATATGGTTATGAAAATAATTTTCACACCCTAAACTTAGAGATTTTAAATAACTAAAAAGTGACCACCAAAGAATCTTAAAAATGACTATAATAAAACATCTGAAGGTACTTTCTTTTTGCGCAGTAATATTGGCACCATTACCATAAAATATTGACGCAATATTGTCGCCATATGTTGTCGCCATTCGGCTACAATAGTGCGTGTCATATAAGATGGTGAAACATTGATGGGTAAATTTTTCCAGGAAGAGCTAAAATTTACAGCATAGAGGAATGATACAGCCTTTTCTCTCTAACTTTTGAAGATGAAATTCTCACTTCTGGAAAATAAAGTGACGCAGGGGGCGCGAGGGATGTATTTTCACAGCGTTTTCCCTTTTTGGTTCTGGGAGGGAAAAAAAAGATAGAATCCCTTGGGTTATAAACACTTTTTGGGGACCTCTCCAATTCTCCTACGTCAGGTAGAATTTGTTCGACCGACCGATAAATCGTTAGCCATCAGGCAAGGCCGTTGCTGTCGTATATAAGAATGATGGTGCGTGAATACCGTAGTCAGTCTGTCCTTCCATTTTTTTTCTTCTCCACATTTATAAATATACTTGAAAGTGTACCATAATGATTTTTAAAAACCATAATTTTTAATACCATAATTTTTAATAGCATTATAATTAAAATTATTATGATATTAAAAATTATTGTGGATCTTAAAAGATCCACTCAAAAATCAAATGCACATGTGCATTTGATTTTTAATTTTTAATTGGATCTCTCTTTTATAATTAAGGTACATATAGAATAATTTATTAAAGGTACGTGTTTGCCGGGGGGCAATATTTACCATCAGACAGTAATACACAAGACACGTGCCTAAGAAAGATAAATTGCCAATCTATATTAAAAAATTCAATTTACCTCATCAATTGATTATACAATATTTTTTTCTATTTTAAAAACGTTTATTGTACGACGAATTTCACAATTTTTCAAAGCAGCAAACTGAAACAGTGTTCAAAGATCGAGAAAAGTTTTAAAGAAGCAAAAAAAAGGTGCTCTTTAAATTTTAAATTGGCTCGTGCTGTACAATTTTTAATGCTGGAATATCTAATTTTTTTCCGTCTGCATTATGCAACAGATTCGAATAGTAGCAAAAAGGAGGAAGAAGAAGAATTTACTACACGTTTTAGATTCAACGGATTTTTCTATATGGAATAAGATCTTAAGATTAAGATTCTAAGATACAATGAGAAGAATCCAAACAGAAGTTTTTTTTTTAAACTGAAATGATTGTATAAATATATCCAATGAGAAAAGTAGAAAAATTTATTTTTATAATCATACTCTTTTAACATCTCATTAGTTTTTCCTTACGGTATCGATTTATGATAATTGTTGGAAATCCCTCTGCTAAATTAACGGATTCGACATTTTTCGTCATTATCTTTGGAATGCGGTGCATTTTTTTCTTGAATCGAACAAAAAAAGGAAAAAAAAACAATAGTGTTTGTTTCATAGTAATACTGTGAGATTATAAATATTAAGACTCTCGCAGTATTGCTATTGCTAATTATGGAAAAACGTTTTTAAAATTCAATCGTTCTTAATTATAAACGTTCGGACAAATAAAAAATGCATAATTGACATGTACTCTTAATGATGTTGTTATTGTCACTTTTAAATATTTCTTGAACGGTCAATTTTGAGTCATATTTCTTTTCTTTTTTTTTTAAAGAACATAAGTTTTTCTGACTTGTTACTGTAAACATTTCTGCTTCTAACTTTTCCTGACTTGTGCAAACATTTCTGCTTCTGACTTTTCCTGACTTGTTACTCTAAACATTCCTGCTCCTGACTTTTCCTGACTTTTTATTATAAACATTTCTGCTCCTGATATTTCCCTCACTCTACAGACAAAAGTTTTGTTTTTCTGACATTTCTCTAACTTTACTAAAATTTAGTCACTTTGTTATTTTTTAAAAAAAAATGTTATTATTTAACATTTTATTGAATGTCCCGTTCTTATTAAAAGAAAAATAAAAAAAAGAAAAATGCTTCGTTAAAAATTTGAGTTCTTGTTAAAAATTTGCAAACCTGTCAAATATCGAAGTTGAAAAAAAATTATTAGGAAGAATAAAGAAAAAATCGTTGAATATTAAATTTATAAATATTTACCACTATTTTTTCGGGATGTTTTGAAAAAATCATCACGTGGTTAAAGAGAGGGAGAAAGAGAGAGAGAAAGAGCGACGTTTTTCAAATGGACTCTCAAAAGTGAGCGCGTGCTACGAACTTTTCTTATCCTGGCGTTCAAGTCTCCAGAATTACTACTCGTCCAATAAACGTTCGTCCCCGCGCCTCAAGAGTTCTCTCTCGATTGAAATTCCTGACTTGCGTAATTTCAATATATATATATTGAAAACAGAATTTCAATTGGAAAAATAAATTTCATTCCATCGTTTTCTTCCATCAAAATGACATGATTGAAATCATGCTATCACACCGGCAGGCACACGATGTTTCTAATTTTTGTAATTGGTATGTCAAACACAACGGAATAAGAGTCGTATCACGAAGCGAACGTGATCGGACGAAGAAGGACCTTGAGGACGAGAAAGATCGCCAAAGAAGTGCACACGAACACAAATGGAATTTGAAAATTTCATCTCTCATCACAATTAATATTGCGTGTTTTCAACTCTTCTTCGTGCCAAAGACATTGTTTGCTTGCTCCAAAAACTAATAAACGAAAAAAAGGCGGGGACCCGACAAAATAAACGAAAATGAAGAAAGACAATTCCACTTCATTGGAAGATAATTAAGTTCTTTGAAAATGAATTCCAATAAACAATTTTACTTGACAGGAGACTTGAAAAAATTCGTTGGCCACAAATTTTATTTCAAATCCAAAAAAGATTTGAAATAAAATTTTTGGCCAACGAATTTTTTCAAGAAGATAATTATTATTCATTAATTGCTAATTTTTAAAGGAGGAAGATTTTATCCCTGGCGGATTGGGTTAAATGCATTCGGTTAGGATTCGGTTAGGTTCAGTTAGGTTCAGTTAGGTTCAATTAGCTTCAGTTAGGATTCAGTTAGCTTCGGTTAGAATTCTGTTAGGTTCAGTTATTTTCGGTTAAAATTCGGTTAAGTTCGATTAAGACTCGGTTAGCATTCAATTCGATACGATTAGGCTCGGTTGTGATTCGTTTAGGTTCTGTCAGGCTCCGGTTAGAGTCGAAACCTAAATGAATCATAACCGAATCCAATCGTAACAAATTGAATGTTAACCGAATCCTAATCAAACCTAACCGAATTCTAACTGAAAATAACTGAACCTAACAGAATTTTAACCGAAGATAACTGACCCCAATCGAATTCTAACCGAAAATAACTAAACCGAACAGAATTCTAACCGAATTCTAAGTTCTAACCGAAAATAACTGAACCTAACCGAATTCTAACCAAAATTAACTGAACCTTTCAGGACCTAACCGAATCCCTACCGAATTCGTTGAACACAACCCAGCAGAGACAAAATTTCCTTTATTTTAATTTATTTATCTAAGAAAATTAACAGAATACACAAATTATCAAAAAGCAAGGATTCTGGGACTCACCGATTGCACATAATCCTTAAAGATTGTCAATAAATCCCGCTTGACATTCAAGACTAATTTGCACACGGGAAACATTCACTTTTATCACTGTTTCCACAAATGAGGATTCTTTAATAGCACAAAATAAAAATATTAACAAGACACTTAAAAAAAACAGCGTTCACCAACAAGTTTGTGTGTATAATCCGTCAACTTTCACATGAAGGAGTTAGAGCTCCATTTACTTTTCTTGACGTTTGAAAATTCCAACACGTGATGACTTCAAACTTCACGTACGAATAACAATGATGGAAAAAAAAATTCTAAGAAGACGGCACGTAGTGAAGATAAGGCACAACTGATAGGCACTATCAATGATTAAAATAGTTGAAATAAATATAAACTGCTTAAGTGTTTTTTAATACATAAATATTTGTGTACTTTTCTTTTTTATTGTAGCTTTATTCTTTAGTGTTGTTGTTGTTATTGTTGTTATTTTTACTGTAGTTTGTTTATTTTAATGTTACTGTAGTTTGTTTATTTTCACGTAGTCTTTATTTTTACTGAAGTTTGTTTATTTTAGTGTAGTCTTTATTTTTAGTGTAGTCTTTTAGTGTAGTTTTTTATTTCAGTTTCTTATTTTTATTGTAGGTCTGTATTTTTAGTGTGATTTTTTATTTTAGTTTCTTATTTTTATTGTAGTTGTTTATTTTAATATAGTGTTTTATTTTAATTGTAGTGTTATATTTAATTGCAGTTTATTTAATTTTAATCGTCGTTTATTTTATAATGTTTATTAAAGTGAAGAGAAGTGTTTTTGAATTTGCGGGGGAAAAAAATACTGTGGATATATAGAACCGCGCGTCTCACCTTGCCGAGCAAGTCTCTCAGGTCGACCATGCAACAACGCAGGTCCACGCTGGGCATAATCCCCCTCACACCCTCCCCTAACCTCCTGGTGAGGCCCCTTCTTTAGCTTCCACCTCCTCAAAGTTGAAGCGTCGCTAAGGCAGTAGAGGTACCACCACCACCTTCACTTCTTTTCGCCTTCTACCCATTCTCCTTCATTTCTTCTTCTACCAGACGGACCAGAAGACAGCTTCTCTACTATACTTCCCCTCTAAAGTTAGAAAACCTTTGCTTTGCTTTGCTTTGCTTTTTCAGGTAAAATTGCTACAGGTATGTTTCCTTTTCATACACACGCACTTATTTGCCTCCTAGTTGTTGTGTATTATAATGTCAATGATGTAGATGTAAATTTATTTATATTTAGAACTTACAAACATGTTTTTACGATACCAATAGTAATGAACAGTTAGGTTTCCAACACCTACATTTTTCATTTTTGTCCCCACGTGTTTCTTGTCCTGGTTTTGTCTCAGGACCATACAATTTTAAATATTTGGTTCACTTGGGAAAAAAATTATGTTTTAATTTTTTCAAGAAAATAATTATTACTCATTGCTTGTTTATTTTCAAACGAAGAGGTGACAATTTTACCTCTGGCGGATTGGGTTAAGTGCATTCGGTTAGAATTCGGTTAGGTTCAGTTATCTTCGGTTAGAATTCTGTTAGGTTCAGTTATTTTCGGTTAGGATTCGGTTAGGTTCAGTTATTTTTGGTTAGAATTCGGTTAGGTTCAGTTATTTTCGGTTAGAGCTTAGAATTCGGTTGGAATTCTGTTAGGTTCAGTTATTTTCGGTTAGGATTCGGTTAGGTTCAGTTATTTTTGGTTAGAATTCGGTTAGGTTCAGTTATTTTCGGTTAGAGCTTAGAATTCGGTTGGAATTCTGTTAGGTTCAGTTATTTTCGGTTAGGATTACGTTAGCTTCAGTTATTTTCGGTTAGGTTCAGTTATGAACAATCAAAATTTTGTTAGGTTCAGTTATTTGCGGTTAGGATTCGGTTAGGTTCATTAATTTTCGGTTAGAATTCGGTTAGAATTCGGTTAGGTTTAGTTAGCTTCGGTTAGTTTCAGTTATTTTCGGTTAGAATTCGGTTAGGTTCAGTTATCTTCGCTTAGAATTCTGTTAGGTTCAGTTATTTTCGGTTAGGATTACGTTAGCTTCAGTTATTTTCGGTTAGGTTCAGTTATCAACGGTCAAAATTTTGTTAGGTTCAGTTATTTTCGGTTATAATTCAATTAGGTTTGATTAAAATTCGGTTAGCATTCAATTCAATAAAAGAATCTAATTTTTAAGTTTATTAAAAAAAGTCTGTTTAAATCAAATAAAATTTAACTCAAATATTCGCTTTGGTCTTGTTTTGGACGAGAAATAACAGAATTTCGTACGAAATTCTAATAAAAAGAAAGGAGCAAGAAAGAGGAAGATAAGGAGGAAGAAATTTTTACAGAATTTGATGCAGAGATGAATTTTCAAAAAAAAATTAGATGTATCACTAAAAGAATCGTAATTGGTTTTTTTTCTTCTCCTGGGACAGGAGATAAAGGTACAAACAAGATCTTCCAAGTAAAGTCCATTAGGAGGAGTGAGGTCGAACAATGATGTTCCACTTTTGTGCCCGAGCGCAAAAAAGAAGCTTTTCATCTCACACTCAACAATGTAACAAGCTGGTCACTTGTTCGAAAATGAACCTTTTGTCCCTGTTCTTTCAAGCCATCCTTTAAACACCCTTTTAATGTACACCTTTATCAAAAACTTGATGATAAAACCTTTGTTTTATCCAGGAACCAATTATTTTTTGTATGTTTCGTATTATTTAGTGCTTTTAGAATAAATATTATTCATTGCTCGCTAATTTTTAAACGAAGAGGTAAAAATTTTAACTCTGGAAGATTGTGTTACCTAAATACGGTTAGGATTCGGTAAGGTTCAGTTAAATTCCGTTAGAACTCGGTTATGTTCGATTAGGATTCAGTTAGAATTCAGTTTTGTATGATTAGGATTCGATTAGGTTCGGTAGGGTTCGATTAGCGTTTGGTACGATTGGGATTTGATTATGTTCGGTTAGGTTCAGTTATTTTCGGTTATAATTCTGTAAGGTTCAGTTATCTTTGATTAGAATTCTGTTAGGTTAAGTTATTTTCGGTTAGAATTCTGTTAGGTTCGATTAGCATTTAATTTGGTACAATTAGGTTTGGTTATAATTTCGTTAGGATTTGACTCGAACCGGTGCATAACAGAACCTAAATGAATCATAACCGAGCCTAAAAATATCAAATTGAATGCTAACCAAATCCTAATCGAACATAATTGAATTCTAACCGAAAATAACTGAACCTAACAGAATTCTAACCGAAGATAACTGAACCTTACCGAATTTAACCGTTCAGTTAAATTCGGTTAGGATTCGATAAGCTTCGGTTAGGTTCAGTTAGCTAGGGTTAGAATTCGATTAGATTCGATTAGAATTCAGTTTGGTACGATTGGGATTCGATTAGGTTCGGTTCAGTTATCTTCGATTATAATTCTGTAAGGTTCAGTTCAGAATAGTAGCTTATTTGAAGCTTAAAAAGTAGTTTAACCTCAGGATTTCAGATCATACTCTCAAGACTAAAATTCAGTCAAAGGTTCTATATTTCAAACGGTTTTAGAAAAGCCAAAAGCTTAACGCTTATCACTCAAAAGCCAAAAGCGTTTGAGTTTTTAAAAAATGAGTTAAAAGTGAAATTTATTTTTTAGTGCATAACCTTTTAGTATATTATATTCTTATGCTACAGTTTTTAGTATTTAGTGATGCACGAGTTCTTTCATGTAAAGAAAAGACATGAAAATTTAACATTCAATTCTTTTCACTTTTTTCTTCAATACAAGACTCGTTCGTAGTGCATCACTAAGCATCAGAATTTTAAAATTACATTATAGTTTCAGTACTATTCTAGTTTTGAAGAAAATTATCAATTTCCATAAGAATGTTGCAATGGTGATTTGACTTTTAAAAAGCATTGGAAACTTGGATGAGTTAAGGGAACACTTGAATTTTGAGTGGCACGCTGGGGAATAGGAGAAATGAGCTATTTGTGCGTGTGGGTGATATTTTAGAATTTAGAATGCAGCAGGTGCCTTTTATACCTGAGAAATAGTTTTTGTGATGTATACCGACTCTCGAGATCCACCCTCTAAAAGTTAGTCCCGCACTGCTTTTTTTTAAGGGGGAGAAATATACTATTGTTGGCTTCAAGTGGTTTTGCTATCCATGCCGTATTGTTTGGTTTAGACGAGACCTACACCACAGGAGTGCGAGGCGCAAAACGCATTTAACAAAATTTAACATTCGTCAGAACAATACCACAACAAATTTCAAGGCAGTGTATTTGCTAAAACTCATTTTTTTGTCTTTGGGAATAATTTCTAATTGTTTCGTACGTCGTACCTACTTTTACACAACAGAATGCCTAATTTTTAAGGAAGGAAAAGTTTTTTTTTTTTTATTGTCAAGTGTGCAAAAAGGCAAACATTTCAGCAAATTGTTAATTCCTTTTAGAATTTGTTGTTAATGTAAAAAAAAGAAAATATCTGGAACAATGTTCATGAGTTGTTTCGGAGTTGTTTTCGAAACAACTTCGAAGAATTCTTTTGCCGCGGGTTTCGCATTGCTGCGGGTAAAGATCAGATAAAGTGCACGAGAGAAGCTCGCCTCTCGGAGAATTGGTTAGAAGTTCAAGAGAGAATCTTATGATCTTAAGAGATGCGTTTCACCTGGGAAGCTGTGTGGTGTATTGAAAAATTCTGGGAAACCATCAAGAAATATGGTGGGTAGAATTTTTACTGAAAAAAAAAATTATTATGAATGCAGTATATAGTTATGGATAATGCACCTGGAAACGAGTATTATCAATTTCAGAAGTTCAAAAAATTCAACCCAACATCAAATATTTTCCAAGAAAACTTTGAATTTTTGCAGCACGAAAAATTCGTACATCTTTTTTTTTTTTAAGAATTATCATCAAATTCTTCAGTACCACCACTTTGGTATTTTAACACCTTTCCAACTCTTCGGCTTTTACAGTCAAACCAAGTTTTGTAGCTCATAATATAACTTCTATCATAAAATGAATACCCAACATTAGAGAATTATCTAGAAGGAGAAGGTGTAAATGGATTTCGCTTCTCTGTTTTCGAATTACAACTTTCCACCTAATGGATTCTAAAAGCGTGGATAATGGAATAGAGAATGGAAAAATAGGAACCTAAAAATACAGACTATGGAGAAGACAGTAGACAAAAGAACTACTAGAGGACTAAGAGACTACTAAAGCACTGAAGAAAGGACAAAATAACTAAAAAAGAAGTTTACTAGTAAACTAGTTGAAGAAAGTAAAGAATAAATTTTCAATGTATGAATAATGAGGAACGATAAATATTTCTCAGGAAAAAAAAAATGAAAATATATTGGTGTGAACTTGATTGCAGAGTTTGGCAGGTATTCTCGCGAGTGTACATTTGTCCATTGTTAATGCATGGGGGTAAAAGATGTAGAAGAAGAAAAAGGATAAGAAACAAGTTAACATGAGGAAGAAAAGAGGAAGAAAGAAGTAGAAGAAGAAGAATAACGTGGCACGAGAGCACGAGAGTGGCAAAAGTGCCCTCGAGGCATCTCTTCGACTCTCACCATCATAGGTAC